AGACGTCATTTAATACCCCAGACAGGTTGTCGTGGCCTTTGCGAGCACATCCGAAGAAAAGGAAAGGCGGCCGCGTCCTGCTCGGGGGCCTGGTGGGTGGGGGGAGGGGGTGCAGGATTTCTTACAGCCTTCGCAAGGACGCTCGCGGACGCTGCTTCTTCCCTTTGCTAGACGGTTTCGGACTCTTAGGATGATTACGGCGTAAAGTGCAGATATTTATCAATATTGCTTTGCTTGCGTGCAGGTGGAAGGAGGAGTTCACTCCAGTCCTTATACAAAGAAACCACCTCGTGTCCTCTTCTGTAACGTCGTTTTCTTACCTTTTTTATCTATAAGGATTACATCAACTGAGGCTATGCAATATTTTTTACAATCATATTGAACATATGACGCTGTGATGTTTGTACGTGACAAAAGTAAATATTAAACCTTTTTAATGACTCTGTCAAAGCCTTGCGTCTGTTATGCAATGCCATTGTGTAAAAAAAAGCCAGAAAAGTCGGTCGTTTGCTCGATGTTGTGAAGGCGACGCTCGGCGACATGTGTTTGAGCGGCAACATTCCGATTCCGGGGCCTTCGGATGTCAGTGCTGCTGTTGCCAACTTTGGTTTTCACAGCCTAGATCATTAATAAAAATTGCAGAATGACTTTCGATTTAAGAGACATTTTTTTCTTCGACCTGGGCGTGAATTCTGATGATTTATGAATACATATACACACGTATACATATAATTACCTCTCTCTTTTCCAAAGCGTGAACACACCCTCATTGCAAAGTGCATAAAGCCTCCCGACGCCATCTTCGAAACCTTGACTCCTAATGAGACCGTTTACCGTAATACGCAATCGTTTATAAACCATCAGCTCTTTCCTGGCCCCGCGGAGCGCTGCGGTGCGCGAGCGACGGACCGAAAGGCCTTTGCGCGCTGCGTTCTGTCAAGGTCGCGCGCACTTTGGTCTCTTCGTTGTTCCTCGATTTTATTTTTCACAAGAGTTTTCCTGCTGTTTCAGATAACCATGACGGTATAGGATCAAAGCGTATTATGCAACGACCCATAAAAAAAAATCTCGCTTCATTCTTAACTCAACCACCGACATAAACACACGCGCAGGCACACACACACACACACACACACACACACACACACACACACACACACACACACACACATACACACATAATATATATATTATATTATGTATATATATATGTATAATATATATATATATTATATATATATATATATATGTATATATATATATATATATATATATATATATATATTATATATATGTGTGTGTGTGTGTGTGTGTGTGTGTGTGTGTGTGTGTGTGTGGTGTGTGTGTGTGTGTAAATATAATATATAGGTAAAAATATATACATAATGTATGTATACATTGTATGTGTGTGTGTGCACATTTATTTACTTAAACTGTGTATGTTTTTATTTGCATGTGTTTTACCAAGAGAATGTAGATCGCCGAGACCAAAAATTATGTATTGTCGACTAGAGGAATGCCCTTTCGCTGTTCCTTATGCCGAGGTCGCCACAGCATCGTTAAAAGGATTCCTCTCCACCATCTCCGTCATTAGTTTTCCCGGGGTCTATAAAGGGTTGATGGTCCTGTTCAGGCTTTCGCTCTCTCCGCTCTTAAGCCTTTTCCTCCAAGACCGAGTACAGCGATGCCGAGCGCTGACCTTCCCATCGCTGGTCCATCGCGCCGGCCACGGGAGAGCGGGCGGGAGGAGGGCCGCGCACCGCCTCCCCGCCGCCGCAAGCGCTAGGTCGCCTGGCGGTTCGGGGAAATTACATGGAACCCAAGATTATATGTGTAGTGACGTTGCGCGAGACCGACTTACCGCTTTGCCGTACAACATGCGCGTCGCTGGTGATGTGTTGGGCCTATACTGCAGGATTCATTCAGATTCCAGTGGATAAGTCAGAGAAATTTCTGTTATCAATGCATTTTATAGAATAAAGATGTGACGATTATTTACATGTTACAGCGATTTTTTTTTTTTTTTTTTGAAACGGTTCGTATGATGTTCTCCGTCATTCAGGATTCACAGAGAGATCCTTCTTTCTGACCACGGCAGAGTGATACGTTAATTTACATAGTCTTTTAGATAGCCCTGTAATTTCTTTTAAGATTCTTTGGATACTGATGGAAACAAATGAAATCAAATGCTTGATCTGTATTGCCTTCTAGACGTATGCCTTTGATGCAGACTGTTAATCTGACATGAAATTGATGAGGTAATTCATCTGCTATTAAGCAGTGGAAAGTATGTAAATCTTTTATCGTAACACTTTTTTTGATGGAACATAAAGTGGTGTTTTTTCTGGTGTAAACACGCAGCATAACGAATTTTGCATCATGGTTGCCTGCAACACAAAATGTGTAATCCGAACGCGCAACTGCATGATCTATTTTAACAGATTTATCTTTAAGAACAGCTTGCTCGTTGTATCTAATGCCCAAATTTCCTTCATTGCAGTTGACGATGGCCCAAAGGTTGTGTTTGCTGCTAACGATAACGGCGTGGGCGGGATGGGTGGCTGGGCAGTCTCCCTACTGCAGCTTCACGCCCGAGCACACACTGTGCCGCGCGTCCGGCCTCGGCCCCACCTGCGGGTCCCAGGTGCCGGGGCGAGGCGTGAGTGCCCAGGACGCCGCCCTTATCTTGGCGCAACACAACCAACTGCGGTCCCGGGTGGCCATGGGGCAAGAGGGCCGTGGAGCGCCCGGGCCGCAGCCGCAGGCAGCCAACATGAGGCTGATGGTAAGTTCTGGAGCACAGTTGAAAACGAACATGCTTAGGAGATATGGTAAATCAAATCCACGTGTATAAAAAAAGTGCGGTAGGTGACACATCTGCTCTGGTTGCAGGAGTGGGACGACGAGCTGGCGTTAGTCGCTCAGGGTCATGCCGATCAGTGCATCTTCGAGCACGAGTGTTCCGACTGCCGTCGCGTCTGTAAGTACTGCTTCGCTGATTGTCATTGCACGTCAGCATATCTTTCCTTATGTTTATTATATGAATAGATTAATTTGTATGGGCCATTGCGCCCAGATAAGCTCAGCTCAAGAGTTTTGTGCGCGCTTTCAGCGAGGTTCGGTGTTGGGCAGAACCTTTTCATCAGCTTCCAGAGCAACTTCGACACACGCATCCAGTGGGGGCGCGCCATCAAGGCCTGGTATGACGAGGTCGCGGAGTTCAGCCGTCAGCCATTCAGCCGTTCCAGTAAGTCGTGCGACAGAGCGGAAGTACAGTTCTGAATGTTCAATTTGCAACTTGTTATATATATGAGCTGTGCATATTCGAATAATTTCATCTATGCTCCATCTTTCTAGTACAGATTGAAGTACCTCTTGGTCCATGACTTAGCCGCATGGGATTAGGAAAAAATCGATTATTATCTGACCTGCGACTGCAGTACCACAGGAGAGGTGAAATTCACAGAGAGTACTCAGTATACTTGGTGTAACTAGAGAGGGCGTAACAAAGACATTATTCTAACAGATTCTCGACTCCCGTGGGCCACTACACCCAGATGATGTGGTGGAGCTCTTTCCGGGTAGGATGCGGCTTCACTATGTTCCAGGAGGACGGCTGGTGGAAGAAGCTCTACACCTGCAACTACGGTCCAGGAGGAAACATCATTCTGAGTCAGATGTACCGCCGGGGGTCGCCGTGCTCAGCCTGCCCCGCCGGAACCTCCTGCTCCCTCCAGTACCCCGGCCTCTGTGGTAAGTCCAGCGGCGGGCGAGCACAGCTGGGGGCCCCTCGGGCGTGCTTCAAGTGCTTCGCCTTGACCTGCACAGCACAAATGCTCTTGCACAGTATTAAAGCACTGAAAAAAAAAAAAAACGATTCCAGAATTTAATGCTAATGATCTTGTAACAAAAATTATGAATTGTATTTCAGGCAAGTACCTCCTTCTGTTAAGCTAATTTGTAAATAACACGATACTAACTGTAGTATTAACTTAGTAACCATAACAAGGAACGTGTGAATCCATACAGAAAGACCTTGTGGTTTACAGTAGTTAATGACCAAAAACCATGCGAGTGAACCGGAGAAAACAAGGTTCCTGTGCCTCGCTAGCTTTAACATTAGCGGTTCCAGTGTGAGTGCGGCGACCCTTCCCTTTGACCACGGGCCAGGATCCCTCCCCTAACCATCCTTAGCCTAACTATCCTTCTCCACCCAAATCACCCTTCCCCTAACCACGTCCGAATGTTTATATAACTGTGAAATAGGACATAATCATGATCAATTCATATATTTAGATATGCTTACACGTGTATATATGTATATAGATATCAATCAGACACACTTCAATAAACACCGGAGACAGGAACGTCAGCCTTGATATAACTTCCATATCGACTGGTCAGACGAACGGCGAGACCGCAAGAGAAGGCAGAGGTTGCGAGGCGAGTCCCCGACGAGGCCGCGCGTAAGCCTCGCTCAGTATACGACGCCGTTCTTGCTCCTCCAGACATATACTCGTAACGTGATTATCTGAGTTAATGGCTGGAACTTTAAGATGGCATTTCGCTTCCTGTCACCCGTGTTGATTCAAGTGCGCTGACATATGCTTGCTTTTTTGTATTTGCTTCTTAACTTATTAATACCATGGTGTGAGTGCGTGTGAGCGTACTTATTACTTGTCGTATGCGTACGATTGTGTTGTACCTCTCTCTCTCTCTCTCTCTCTCTCTCTCTCTCTCTCTCTCTCTCTCTCTCTCTCTTCTCTCTCTCTCTCTCTCTCTCTCTCTCTCT